GTATACTCGAATATTACCATGAGGTTGGGAGATTATTGAATTGATTATTGAATGTAGGGGATTGTTTATTGTTTTGGAGGACATAAGGAGGTTAATTGGCAGAATGTACAATGATATTGAAATGAATGTATAATGACAGTGAAATGAGTGTCTCTTGACACTGAAATGAATGCTCAATGACATTGAAGTGGCTCTAATGCGAGCACCGTATCCTTTTAAAAGTGATTGTTTAGTGAAGTGTTTCCCCAATTGCTTAATGAAAGTGATTGTATAGTGAAATGTGCACTACTTGCTTAATTGTACTGATTTAAGTGTTTATTAAATGTTACTTGTTCGGCAAAGCTCACTGAATTTTAGCTCAGCCCTTTTAGTTTTGTTTTCCTTACAGGAGTTGGTCGTCAGGGAACGAGCGAGGGATCTTAGGAAGTTAACGTGAAGACTTTTGTGATTGTAAATTCTTTAGTTTCATATTATGGTTGAAACTTTTGTATTGAACTTGGTATTGTAAAAGATTTGAGCGTTTGGTTTTGGTTTATCAAAATGTTATCTCTGAAATTAATGTAAGTGAGTGAGCCCTGGCGAGAGTCAGACAGGCGATCCGCTAACTATTAGGGTATGTCCTAGGAAAAGGTGGGGTCGTCACAAAGTGAAGAGAGTTTCTCTCTTAATTTGATAAGAAATTGAGCATGCTTGAGTGAAGGGTTAAGCAGAAATTGTTTGGTCTTAGTTGAACGATTATAGGTAATCGTTGATTGTGCATATCTCAGGCATTCAAGAGGAATTCGAGGGAAACCCCTAGGAGAATTTGTGAAAGCTTTCTCTTGTCTTGCTTACTTGATTATTGGTGAGTGTTCCTTGCATGTTATGCTTCCAATGACTTTGTACAATGTTGTGAATATTTGCTTGAATTTTAAATGCTTTTCAATGATTGTTAAATGGATTTTCAATAGGTGAGTGTGTACTTTATCGCACTTGACCTAAGTGATCGTGAAATTTTCAATGATCAAGTGATTGAATCTTACTTGTGCATGAATGTAAGTCTTTGACTGAACTGGACTCTTGCCCTTCGTTGCCAGTCAATTCGAGTCAGAAGCGGATTCGATCGAGCGGCTGGTGACCCTGGGATAGTGTTTGGTATACTCAAGTATGACTACAAAGTCTGGTGGAGAACTGGCCAGTGAATACAATGCAATGATTGAAATGAATGAATGGAATGAACCCTGAAGGATTTTTCATTGTTAAATGTTTTCAAATATCGGAGGAATAAGGGAAATGGTCGGTTATTAAATGACTGAATGAATGGCTCCAAGTGAGCACATATCCTTCTAATAATTGAATGATTGTTTCTTGGATGATTGTTTATTACTGTGAAAAGTGTTAAATGTGATATTTCCATATTTAACCCACTTGACTGCTTGTTTTGAAACCTCAGTGGATTTTTAGATTATTTTTTTAGTTTTTGTTTTCCTTATAGGAGTAGAGGCCCAGAACAATTAAGTGTGAAGTAAAGTGTATAACCCTCTTGTACTTATTCTTTTGATAGATAGAATGTATTTTGACATTTGATGTTGTATCATATATTTGGCTTTTGGGTTGTAAATAAGTTTGACTTTTGGTTAAATTGTAGAACTTAAATGTTATTTTAGAGGCTTGAATGGTTAATATTGAGAGTTGATTGATGTAAGTGAGTGAGTCCTGTTGAGAGTTGGGCAGGCGGTCCACCAAACCCTTGGATACGCTCTAGGGGGAGGTGGGGTCATCATACTTTCTTTACAGGCTGAACCCGCTTTTTAATAGCCAAATGGTGGACTGATACTTTTGGAAAGTGTACTCCTTGTTTTGCATCTCCTTGAGTGTTGGTTTTCTCTTTCCTTACTCTTGACGCGTATTGATCTTCTTGTCTTCTCTCTTAGCGATCTTGAGGACAATCTTGAAAGGTGTTACACTTGCAACCATAGCCTCATTCTTCTCACTTTTGACTGGTGGATTACCCCCTTCCTTATTTCTTGTCTCTCATTAGCCTGGCGGGGATCAGGAACTGGCAAGTCTTATCCATCAAGGTTAATTTCTATCTTATGAAATTTTATGGATAATTCATCAAATGTTTCTAGTTGTACACCTTGCAAGATGTATTTGAGCCCCTAATGCATGCTTTGAATACACATCTCAATCGCAGAAGACTCATAAATTTGATCCTTGCAGTTTAGGCTCAGATTCCTTTAGCGATCGATGAAGTCGATGACAGGTTCATTCTTCCATTAATGTGTATTGGAGAGTTCAGTCATGATGACAGTTCTCTTTATGCTGTAGAAGCGGCACAGAAATTCTTGCTCTAATTATTTCCAACTGTCAATGGTACCAAACTTCAGATCTGTTACCAATCAAAGGTGTTACCTTCAATGAACGAACAAATTACTTAACAAGCAAGTCACCATCAGTGCTAGCATTGTTACAGGTTTCAACAAAGTACACGATATATTGTTTAGGACGATATGTTGTTTAGTGTTGCTCTTGCTATCAAATTATTGAAACTTTGAAGATTGATATCCTATAGGTATTTTCAAGCTCTCCACTTTTGCGGTGTAAGGTTTGGTATAACTACTATACGACTTGGTACTTCCACTAATCTTGTCTTTGATCGTATTTTTGATAAATTCCTTTAGATTATCAACATGAGTGCCATCGTGAGAGATTGAAAACTCCTTTATTATTTGTGACTTGGTGCCTTCTTTCTTCTTCTCCCTTGATGATGAGTCACTTTCATCTGTCACTTTAGATTTCTATTTGAACATGCGAAGGCTATTTTCGCCAATATTTTTCACCATAGCCATTAGTTTGACTATATTAGTGTCTTGACTTTACACATGCACTATTAGCCCTTCGATAATTTTGACTAGATTTGAAATTTGATCTTTCGTAGTTATTGTGTTAGTCATCATAACGAGGATTACCACAGAGGTAGCAGAATCACTTGACTTATCAGCAGATACATCATGGACTCCCTTCTTGTTGGGAAAAATTTCAAGATATTTTCCTTCAACTACAGCATTCGCCTTAGTCCTCTCTACAGTATGAGCGCCGGCATACTAATTTCGTTGGAGCGCCAGCAATCATGCCTTTAAGAGCAAAGTTCACCTTCTTGGACTCTATTGATTTTTAAAACAGGTAAGTTGTTCGAAATAAAGAGATAAGAGGCAGAGATGGTCCCATCGAGCGTGCTAGAAATTTGTAAGCACAAATTTCGTTGCCTAAAATAAAAGACAAAAAAACTTGTACAAATATCAAATTTTTTAAATCAAATAATAAGAGGGTTATAATCTCTAAAAATTTCTAAACCAAAGAAATTAATCCCCTGGACTCTTTAAAATCTCTAAAATTTATTGAGTTTTGTTAAATCAAAACTCAATAAAACTATTAGACTCTTTCATTCACTTTCCCTCCCTATCTTTTCTTTTCTCTCCTCAAAAATCAATCCAAACAATAAAAATCAAATCCCTCAAATTCCTCTTATTTCTTTTCCCTTCCATTCCCTCAATGCAAACGGTGCTTTAAACTAATTCAATCATTCTTCTATTTTATCTTTACTCACACAATTATTTTTCCTGATTCTTTTACTTTTGATATGCGAGCCCATGGCTTATGGATATTAAATAAATTTTTTGAAGGAAAAGGCCTGTCATGGTAGCTTGCTACTGGGCGTGCCTTCCACTACTATAGAAAAAAATATATGCATCTCACATGAATAACCTATCTAAAAACCATTAAACTAGATAATACAAAATGGTGAACAGAAGACTCAATTGATAAGGACAGACAACTTTCTCACAAAAGGTTGTGTATTCGGATTGTGCTGTTGATGTGAGGACTACATTAGTCATTGATGGACCCAAGATTTTAGTTTAGGAAGGGTGAGTCATCAAAAATATAATAACAAAAAAATTCAATAGCAAATAAAATATACTAAATGTAAAATGAAAGTTCAATAAACTATAAAATAACAAATTTTTAAAAATAAATATAAAGTATATAGAAAAATGTGAAAATTAGACTCTACGCCATTCTATTTACTACCAATGTCAGGCATTCAATATCGTAGTTGAAACTTCTTCAACTTGTATAATAGTTGAATTTTCTTTTAGTATTGTTTTGTTTGTCTTTGATTTCTCACGTAACATGTACAATTTACCTCAGTTGCTATTTTAAAGTTATGGGAATCAAGAAATTAATAGATGGTTTATTATAAGAAATTTGGTTAAAAGAAAATTGAGTATTTTTGTAATTGTTATTCAAAAGTAGTACTAATCGTATGGTAAAGTAGATACCAATGGTATACTTTATAAGGAAACTAATTATTAGTTTGATATAGGACAATTTATCAAAAACAAAATTGAACAAAATAATGAAAACAACTACTAGTAATTATGCTTAGGTGGACCAAAGTAATATAATTCTAGTTTGAAAACTAAAATCATAGGGATGATTTTAATATTTCGAAAAATGTTGAGGAGGTAGATGCCCCTATCCATCCACCGTGTTTGTCCCTAATGTTGGTAGATGATCTGTAAGAATCCCTATAACTACTCTAGGAGGAATGCTTTTATAAGCTGCTAACAACTTAACTATTTTTGTAGCTCCAGAATATTTCAATTTATACTCCTACCTATTATTATCTAGATATGCTAAGAAAGGTGTACGATCTAATAAGGCAACTATGATCTAATAAGGTAACTATGAAATATTTACTCATGGATAGGATAAAAGGCGTGTCCTAATCCGTGATAGTGACCAAAGTAGAATCCACCTAAATTTTTCCTACTAGAAAAAAAAACTAAATGATTCAACCATGCATTTAAATCCATATTTCTTTCCATAGATATCCGTATGAGTTATTATTACTTATCCATCTCCGTGTATTAGCTAAAGTTATGGATGAATGAATGGTTATTGTAACATTGCTTTCTCTACCTACCATCAACTTATATATATACATACATATACAGAGGCAACACAAATTGCCAATTGCCAAAATCAAAGATATTAACTTGGCAATGCCTAGTGCTAAAAATCAGTTGTCATCATCTCCAACAACAAATGAAACCAAAGGTGAACAAAAGTCACTTGTCTTTGATGCACCTTTTCTCCAAAACCAATCTGACATTCCTCATGAGTTCATATGGCCTGATGAGGAAAAGCCTTGTTCTGAACCTCCCCCAATGCTTCATGTGCCATGTATAGATTTGAATGGCTTCTTCTCTGGGGACCCTGTCGCTATCTCCACCACAACTAAGCTAGTAAAGCAGGCATGTCTTGAACACGGTTTCTTTCCTGTGGTTAATCATGGAATGGACTTGCAATTCCTAAAAGCAGCCCACAAGTGCTTGGATTTCTTCTTTGATAGGTCTGACGACCCCACCTCCCCCTAGGGCGTACTCAAGGGTTCGGTGGACCACCTGCCCAACTCTCGCCAAGACTCATTCACTCACTCAACTCTCAAAATTAATCATTTAGGCTTCCAAAATAACATTTAAATTCTACAATTCAACCAAAATGTAAACTTATTTACAAACCCAAAAGTCAAACGTATGTTACAATATCAAATGTCAAAATATATCCTATCAACCAAAATTATAAGTACAAGAGAGTTATACACTCTAGTTCACACTTAATTGTTTTGGACCTCCATTCCTGTAAGGAACATAAAAAACTAAAGGAATGACATAAAAGTCAAGTGAGGTTCCTAAACAAGCAATTAGGTAGGGAAACCATCGAAACATTACATTTAACAATTTGCATACTTTGTACAGTAATATCCAGTCATTCAAGAAATAAACACTGAATCATTGAAAGGATACGTGCTCACTTGGAACCATTCATTCAATTCATTCATTTATTCATTCGCTAACCATTTTCCTTATCCCTCCAACATTAAAAAACGTTTGCAAGTGAAAACTCCTTCAGTGTTCTTGTCATTTATTCATTGATATCATTGCATTGAATCCACTGGCCAGTTCTCCACCAGATTTCATGGTGATACTCGAGTATACCAAACATTGTCCTAGGGTCACCAGCCCCCCGACTGAGTCTGCTTCTAGCTCGAGTCAACTGGCAACGAAGGACAAGCGCCCAGTTCAGCCAAAAGGCTTACATTCATGCACAAGTAGCATTCAATCATTGAAAATTCACTTTTGCTTGGATCGAGTGCAATAAAGTACACACTCGTCCATTGAAAATCCATTTAACAATCACTGGAACGCATTTAACATTCAAACAATCACTCACAGATATTCACATAGTCACTTATTGCACAAACATGCAAGGAATACTCACTAGTTTAAGCAAAATAATGTCAAAAGTTTCCTTCCGAATTATGCCCTTGATCACCGACAAACCCTAAGAATAACCAAGAGAAAATATTATGGTTCAAACATCCAAAGTTTAGGTGAAACAAAAGAAAATCCGAGTAACTACTAGTACGAAGGTGCAAATATGGTTTTGGAGTGAAAAGAGAATATTTAGGCTCAAGGGACATGAGTAACTAAGAATTTCTCCATTCCAATCATAAACTAAGTTCAAAATAGTTTAATAACTCCAACTTAAAGTTGGAAATGAAAGTAAGGACAGTTTTAGGAAAACAGAATTTTTTCTAGTTTTGTACGATGCTATTTGAAAAATCATATCTCAAGATTCTTAAGTTCAAAATTTATAAACTCTATACTATTGGAAAATAGATTCAAAGAGTTACAATTTCTCAGAAAACACCTTTACAAGATTCTATCCACAAGTCAGTCAAAATCCTTTCTCAAGTGGCTGCTTTATCCAGTAGAAAGACAGAACAGGAATGAAAATTTAGTCAATTTTGAAAAATCACAGATATTCATAAGAATTGAGGAAAATTCTGAAATTTTCACGGTAGAAAGTATCTGAATCTAGTTTCAAACACAACAAGCAGAACTCAATTTGAATTTTTCTACACCAAGATATGACAGATTTCCCAAGACTGCTCAGAGTCTCCGGCGGGAAAAATTTCAGCAGCACTTCCTTTGTATTTACCAATTTTTCCAGCCATTTCAAGGCTACACTTTCATCACAAGATAGTTCCAATCAAGTTCACAAGATATAGAATACATAGAATAGTTATTTTAACTACAAAACTAGCTATAACCAACATATACCTAAGTTGGAAATTAACCAAACCCTAGCAACAACTTCACCAACCCTAGCAACAACTTCACCAACCCTAGCAAAACCATGAAATTGCCATAAACAAGCTTCCTTTAACTTCAATCATAACATATCTTGCATAAATCTCAAATAACAAGTAAAAAGAGATGTTTTCTAGACATTTTACCTCAAAATCCCAAGATAACAAGCAACTCAAGAGCTTTCTTTTCCAAGTGACTCCACCAAAAGCTTCCCTCCAAGTCTAACTTAAAATTAATCGGTGTAGATTTGGATTGGTGTTTGAATCTCTCATTGATTGAGCATGAAATCAAGGCTAGAAAATGGAAGTTTTTCTCTCTTTTCTTGTTTCTTAAGTTCGGCCAAAATGAGGGGAAAGATGATGGAATTTTGGTAAAATATTCAAGATAAATACTAGGGAGGTCTTTGGTCAAAGGTGGTGTTGATTGCCAACACTTGGCATCCACCAATTTTTCTTTCTTTTCCTTTTTCTTAGTCAATAATGGTGGCTGACTTAAGGGTTAATTTAGGGGAAATTAAATGAAATGAAAACAAGGAGATTAGGGTAAGAAAGTATTGGTAAAGCGGTGTACTCAACCGGTAATAAATGACGCACGTTGGTTCAGGCCTATTTTCCTTAACTCTCTTGTACTTTTGTTTTAACTTATAATTCACTAACTTATTATTAGCACTTCTAATCAAACACTTCCTCTTACCTAATACTCACTCTTATCCACCAAATTTAGTGCACACACCTCACCAATCGATCACACTACCAAAATGTACCAAAAGCCTAACTTACTCTAACTTTAAAAGTAAAAGTAAAACTCTTGACTCAACTAATGAAATCACCATGAAATTTAGGATTAGTAAATAGTTAAATAGTAAAATAAAGAAATACAGAGGGAAATATAAATTAATGTTTCAAAAATAGGAGGAAATTCTAAAGGAATATTTTGATCCTCATACTCTCTTCCCCTTAAGAAAATTTCATTCTCGAAATTTTTACCTTCCATCGGCTCAGATGACTCTGGAGCCTGTTGCTTGTCTAAAGCATATACCCTTGTTGGGACTTTCGACCGGTTCCTTCTTTCATTAGTTTGTCTAGGTTTGGTTTTATCCACTTATTGAATATTATTCCCTCGTGGCTGCTTCTTCGGACAGTTGTTAATTTGATGATCGCTATTCCCACAAATCAAACACTTTCGCCCTTTTACCCAACATTCATCCTCAGTATGATTTGTCTTTCCACAATATCTACAATCTAAGTGAGGAGCCACTTTTTGGCTTTGTCGAGGAACTCCCTCTTGTTGCCCCTTTCCTATTTGAATTCCTCTTGAAGAACCTTCTTCTAATTGTCCTAATGTCCAGGGTAGGTAGTGCTGAAAGTCCGTTCTTCTTACTTTGGAGGGCGTTACATTTTCTTTAGGTTTCTCAGGTGTACTAGTAAGGGTACTCCGGTTTCTCGCATGAAAAGCCTTCACTTATGCTCTCGCAATTTCAATTCTTTGAACTTTTTCAAGAGTTTCCGTGAATGTATTAATTTGTGCTACCACCAAATCCTCTTGCATTTCTACATTTAACTCCTGTACAAATCGCCTCACCCTCCTTTACTCCGTAGCTACCAATTCGAGAGCAAATTTGGACAGTTTAGTGAATTGTATTTCATATTCAGCCACGCTTAGGGTTTTTTGGCGTAACCTAATGAAATCATCCTCTCTTTTCTCTTGGACCAGAGGTGGAAAGTATTTCTCATTAAATTCTCTCATAAAGTTTACCCAAAATCCATGTCATTTGTTCTCTCTCCCACTTTGCCCTAATAACATTCCACCATGTCCTAACCGGTCCTTCAAATTGAAAGACGGCAAAAGCCATTTGTTTTTCCTCCGTATAATGCAAGGCTACAAAAATATTTATCATTACTTCCAACCAATTTTCAGCTACTTCCGGGTCAGACCCTCCAAAGAATTTCGGTGAAGAAAATTTTTAGAAACGCTTTATGGCCTTATCCTCTCCTATCTTAGGGTTGCTAGACTGATTCACTAGAGCTCGACCTTGTTGCTCTATCAATTGCACTAAGATATTAGCCATTTGTTGTATTGCCGTTGCTACTTGATCCCCTGTTTCGGCCCTTGGTTCTTATTGCTGCTACCGCCGCGTCTCTAGTTTCTCTTGGTTCTAGTACTTGCATACCTCCACATCCACGGCTAGCTCCACGTCCCCGACTAATCCCTCGTCCTTGATTTTGTCTACCCTCCATACTCTTTCCTCTCTTTTTTTTTTAAAAGCTTATATAGCACATAAAAAAAATTAATTGACTATAACAGCAAAAGAAAGACATTTTAAATCACATCGTCAAAGATAAGGAAATGCACTTAGTACACTTATAGCATTCCAAGTTCATTCATCAGATTGCAAAAATACTTTACATATCAACTTGATCAAAACCAAGTGCGTAAAACAAAGCAGATACCATACACATTAGCATTGACACGTCACTAGCAGCATACATACAGTGGCAGAACAAGAAATGACTTGTCATCCCAGTTACCTATACCCACGTCCTGCTTTCTTGAGTCTCTAACCTAGGTCATTATCGAACCAACTAATTCTACTTCTCCCTCGGCTGCAGGTTGCCCTACCTTAGGCTCAAGATTTCATTCATTAAGACATGTATACCCTTGACTTCCCTTGGTTAGGTTTATTTGTACTATCTCATCCACAAGTATCTCAAATTAGTCAAAGTACAAAACTCTTCAATTGCAGATACAAATTCAAATACATCATTCGTAATGCCAATCCAAGATAATAACCTATTCTTTCGATCCAGAAACAATTCATATAAGCATGACCTAATTGCATCTTCCACACTTACCTCAATTTCATTCGTAACCGTCATAAAAGTATCAACTCTTTGGTACTCGGGTACAAGAATCCAAAAATAAGACAATTCACAATTCGAACCGGCTGGTCCCAAGAGTAAATTACCTATATTAGAGATTCCTACATGACATACATATTTATCTTCTCCAAGTATCATGATAAGGGTTTTACACCTATAACATTCATGATTCACAGGTTATGCTTTAGAAAAGTACTTAAACCTTTACTCATCCACATAATAGGGACCATAACACCACTTGGCCCAAACTCACCCCACGCAGAAATCACGCGAAGTGGCTCTGATACCACCTGTGACGACCCCACCTCCCCCTAGGG